ATATAAAACTATTGCTACAGATTTCTTGGCAGCACTCCCATGATGCAATTCCCCCACATATCCCAAAGGTGCTCCACTGTGGTTTGAATTTGGCATGATGTTTCAAAATTACTTTAACACACCATAAATAAAGTCAGTTTCTATATTCCATGTTGTTGTTGAAATATAATACATTCTAAAGATAAAGTACAGTATAAGATTTCAACAGAGGAAAATGTATCCAGTGTATCAGTACTATTCAGTACTATTCTACTGGCTGTCGTTGGTGAAACTTTGTTGAAATACAGAACCAGAGCTGGTTTATTTTGAGTGAGATTGCTAATACTGACTGTAGTGTTACCTAGTTACGAAAATGTTTTAAGAGTAATAGGTTTGGGGCAGACTACCAACTCTAAATGAAACTTAAGTGTATTGATATAATTTGTTATAACCTTTTATGAGTCTGCCAAAGTACTTGAAGAGGTCGGTGGGCAAGAGATAAAACCTTAGCACTTAACTAATAGTGCTACAAAAAAAAAAAAAAAAAAAAAAGATTAGATGAGTGGTTTTCAAACGTTTCACTTCAAGAAGCATCTTATCTGTCTCTTGGAGAACCACTAACATGTGGAATCAAGACCTGTCAAGTCTCAAGTCAGAGTCAAGTCCCAAGTCAAAAATAGTCAAGTCCAACTCTTATGCATCGAGTTTCAAATCAAACCACGATGACAAAACTCCTCTTCCCCAATGTCTGTGTAAATTGAGAAGTGATACAGAATGTGACAGAGTTCAGACACTTGACTTGACATGACATCACAAGGTGGAACGGAGCACTTTGAGCTTTGGAGGTGTAGACAGACTAATAACAAAGTGTTACTGAAACTTGTGTGAATGAAACAAAACACAACTCCAGGTCTGTTTCTGAGGAGGTAACAACATTGTAACATGGCTTAAAGCTCATGTGTAATATAGGACCTTTATGCTAAACCTCAAGTCACCAAAATAATAACAAATCTTGTAGTATATTCGAGCATTATTGCATCACTTTGCAGACAACACAAAAATGACATCCAAAATCCTCACGCATAATCCACTCCGCTCCTGTGTTGCTCTCTACAAATCTGAGCGCGGCGAATACCAAAGCACCTGCCGCACCTGAAGGGACTCGAGTGAGAGCTGACAGGTGCAAGGCTGATGACTGACAGTTCTTCAAAGGCTGCAGCGCTGAGAGAGCCCACCCTGCACAGACCAAACTGGAGACAGCCCCGTGTGCCAATGTGCATGTCTCCGTGTTTCGAGACCTGTCAAATTCCCATATTATATTCACATTCCGAGCATAGACTTCCAGCTCGGATATCTCCTCTCCAAGTGTGAATCTGCCTCTGTTATGCTGGTTCCGAGTGAGACTTGAGATGGTTGTAGATGGCCATGTTAATGATCTGATGAAAATGGTAGACATGTCTGAGGTAATGAAGCTCCCAGTGCGTGACTGGTGAAGCAGGAAAGAGTTGGTAGTAGTACATGAGGTGAAAACATTTAGTTAAAGGCCTTTTTCCACCATGTATCTGAGCAAAATTTGTCTTGCCCCAGTACAGATATGAGAAAGGGTCTATACTGTATCAGAGTTCTGCACCAGGTTGGGTACCTGCTGGGTAAATAGTTGCTGAAACGAGCGGGTTTTAACGTTACGGAATTTTACAGGTGGGTAGTAATTACACACGGGCAGGTCAAGCCTAAATCAGGACTAAACCAGGACTACACCAGGTCTAAACCAGGTCTAAACCAGGACTAATCTTGTACTTAAGAGAAAGAACCCCGAGCCTGTGGAGCAGGGTGTCCACAAAGCGTGATTGGGCGAAGGCTGAGCTTACCTCTATGAGGCGCGGAGCTCTGCGCTGGTCCTGTCGCATGCAGTCACCCACCGATCTACGCAGACACACCTCTGAGCCCGTCCTGGTTCAGTCCTGGTTCAGTCCTGGTTCAGTCCTGGTTCAGTCCTGGTTTCAGTCCTGGTTTCAGTCCTGGTTTAGTCCTCCTGTTTCAGTCCTGGAATCAGTCCTTGGTTAGTCCTGGGTTAGTCTTGGGTTAGTCCTGGTTTAGTCCTGGTTAAGTCCATGGTGTGTTTCTTCTGCTGATGTGATGACAGTAGAGTCGTGTCTGTGAGTTCGTACTCGTAATGAAGAAAGTGTAACTGTTTCATTTAATTTCGTGATTGTAATTCTTGAAGTCGTAACTTTTCAATTGGTATTCTGATGGATGCTTCAGTTAGAATGCTTTTAATTTGCGTGTGATTTGTCACAGGCACGGGCGGGTGTGGGTTTAACTTTGATATAATCACGGGTTAATGGGCGGGTGTGGTGCTGTACTGCGCTGTGCGGTGGGTGTGGGTCTCCAAAAACGGACCCGTGCAGGACTCTGTACTCTATTCCCTGATATGCAACATAACTGGACTTGTGTTGTGTTTCATTCACAAGTTTGAGTAACCCTTTATTATTAGTCTGTCAAAGCTCAAAAGTTCAGAATACTTTGTTCCAACGTGTGATGTCATGTAGTGGTAGTTTTCAAGTTAACATCTACCTTTTACCTTTTGTTTAGTAGTTTTCTGTAGGTCTCACACAAAAAAGTGAAGTGAAGTGAAGTGTAGTAAAAAATATCCACTTTAAAATCTACATGAATAAAGTAGAGACATCTAAAAATTGTACTTAAGAACAATACTTTACGTTTCACCACTGCTTGGCCATCAGGCAAATTGCAAAGCTGCCTCAAGTCACAGTCTGTCACTTTCTAACTTCACCGAATAATACGCACTTTTTGAAACTCATAAATCCTATAAGCTTTAAAGTGTTTTGTGCCTGACCCAAAAGTCTGTTTATACCTGCTGCTGTGTAACTTGGTGATTGGTTGAAGCATCAGTAATTGCCTGACACTCAGACGAGGCCAGTGAAAGAGAGTTAGGAGATCTCTGCAGTGGATCACTTTTGAATGCTACAGTCATTCTGTGCCATTGACCAGAATTGATATTTTGGTATCGATCTGGCCATCACTAGCATTCAGGCCGGCTGCGCTAGACTGTTGGATTCAGAGGCACTGTCTCTGTAGCACTTATGTACAGATGATTGGTGTCTGTATTGCTCTAGCTGTTACGTCAAAAAACCCAGGTGGTAGGTTGCATTCACATGGCATCACAGCATTCTAAACAGCTTATAAAGTAAAAATAATTCAAACTTTTTATGTTCATTTACTGTTTACAGTCTGTATCTGATCTTAAAAACTTGAAAAACATAACTAGTGCATTTTAAATAGCGGTTCAAAGTTATTCCTCACTTACCTTATGCATTCCAAGCATTCTAAATATACACCGCAGCAAGTTTATGCGCAGTTTTCACAACTTTCAGAGATCAGAGTGGAGTTTGTTCCATAATGATAACAGCAACTAGCATACTAACCACACACTTCCAGATAATCAAACAAAACACTTTTATGAAACACTTTCTAATTACATACAGTAGACTTGTTTTGACCCCAAGAGCTGCTTATACAAAATATCTGTAATGGGAAAAACTAATTTTTATTAAATACATGGAAAGAAACAGGTGCAGGCTCATTAACTGTCAAAATGTTTTTTGTTTTTTTTCTGGTTTATTGTTATAATTATCTCTGTAATTATAGGGTATATCCACATACCAATTATAGTTAAAAGGTGAAAATATTCAAATAAGCGTGATTGTCATTGTTTGAAAAACAGCAAGATTAATATGGCAAATCTGTTAATCCAACCCAAAAACAACATGTTGTGTTTTTCACTGACAGACCGGATTTTAATGAAATTTGAGAACTTTCAGATCTTTGTCTTGTAATTGCTCAGTATACAGTATATGAACATACTGTCCGGGGTGGGTGATACTGGGTTATATTTACTTAGTTACATTCACTTTTTAAAGACATTGTACTTCTCTAAGTAGTTTTCTGCCTGCTTTGTTTTACTCCTACTTAAGTAATAATTTGTTTGAACAATAATTTGTTTGATTTATCAGCCAGTTTCACTTCACAGAAACCATCTGAACTCGCAGCATAAGGATTCGTTCACTTGACAGTAGGTGGGTACTTTTTTAATTTAACCAATCACTGCTATTTGGTCATGACGTATGTAATGTACCGCTAACGGGGATAACTGGTTTATTAAGCTTTTCCCAAATCCCATAGGAAGAAGCGCAATAATGTGTTTTCCCTTCATAAAATTCACCCAACAGCCGTTCCAGCTTTAAATCCTCAATCTCAGAAATCGTTGCCAACACAGAATGTACGGCTTTGTCTACATCCATCTCAACTGCTTTGTTTACTGTTGTGCTGTACCACACAGCTCTTTGCTGATTGGCCAGTGTGTGGTCCACAGCTTCCGAGGTTCTTGCAATTCTGATTCCTGACCTAGTCGCTGGAGAGAAATGAAACTGAGTGGAGGCACTAGGTGGCGCCAGCCTGGCTAAGAGTGCTTAAGCTTGAGTAAAAAATTTGGTTACTAAATAATTTATTACATGCTCAAACTTACAATTACTCTAACTTAAGTCATTTCTTGGACTTCTACTTTGTACTTATACTTGAGTAACATTACTTTGAGGTAATGTAATATCCACAAAATCCACCTCTGCACATTGAGGGGGTTAACAACATTAGTAGTCATGTCCTGTATATTGCACATACTTAAGCCTCCATTCACTTTTGTCAAATCTGTTAATCCAATAGAATACTTATATTTATATATTGTCCCTTTGTTTTTTCCCTCCTTTTGAAATTATAACATCAGCTTCTAGCATACATACAACCTACTGAAAAATGATGGAAACACCTAAGTGACCACACTGCACATTTTACCTCTTGAATAATACCAAAAGTAATGCTAGCCAGCTTGAAGGATAAACCCCTTAACTGATGCTTGAACATAAGGCCAACAATATTACGGTACTTTGTTTTTACGGTATGTTATGGCGACATAAATCAGGGGAGTTAATTTTACGGCTGTCCCCTACCTCCAGGACAGATGCCTCTTGTTCCATTTGTTTGGAGGGAGTGCACTTCGTCTCCTTCGGCCTTGGGTCCCCTCTGCATCGGACACATCTGGTAGTGAACATCTGGGGGTTTTCATTAGACCCAGAGTGGCTTGGTCTGGGGAAGAGAAGCAAGTGGAATGGGAATTAGGCAAATACATCAAATCAATTTCTTTTAAAGAGGTGGTATTTCTCTTCTATGGGGTATTAATTGCTAGCACGTGACATATTTAGATGAGTCTCCCCTCCTTTTGCCCACGCTCCCCCTTCAGAACGCTATCGCAACACAATCAGCGTGCATCCTGCTAAAGAAACTACTGCACATTGCATCAAATTTGTCAAGTTGTTGTGTACAGTTTTCCATCATGCTTCTGTATATATGTGGCAAATTGTCGTGTGGGAGCATGGGTGATGTAGGCTTGTGGGCGGAGCATTGGACAGAATCTTACAGCTAACCGTGAGGAGAGTTCAAATAGAGCTCAGGAGAGATTGCTAAATTGCTGAAACCTGCATGGATGACATTTAAAACCTCTTTAGGCATGTTTTTGATGAGGAAACAACATTATAACATGGCCGAAAGCTCAAAAATCAACTTTGCACAACACTCCCCTCTTTAAAGTTACACTGTGCAACTTTTCTGGTGGTGATTTTCTCTGTGGAGATGACATTGCTTTGCCTGGAATGTCACGGTTGTTTTTATTGCTCAAGAATACATTGAAAAACATGCATTCTTTCTGTGAGAAGGGTTGAATCTCCAGTGATCTGACCCGTATTGTCATCTGCTCATCTCTACAGACATTATATTTGTTTAATGCTATACTGTGTGAAACATCCCAAGCAAAGAAGTAGTATCTCCATGGACACAAGCAGAACGCAGACCCTCCACCAAAAAGTAAAGTAGTGAGTACTCCTTGGTGCACTGCTATGTGTATACAGTTCACCCTGATCAGGCTAGGAGAGGCTTTGACATGCATGGGGTAAGAAACAGCTAAGCAAATCACTCATTTTAGGTCAAAATTGCATAGAAATTAATTATGGTCAATCCACTGAAGACTAGCGTGTGATGTTTCATTGTTTCGGTCCACTACATTAAAAGGCCCATCTCATGCAAAATAACTCTTTTCACGTTGTATCTTCTGCACATATACAAGCACAATTTGGGTTTTGGAACATCCATTACACAATATTATGTTAGTTATGAAATCTTACTGATTTCTTGGAGGCAGTCACAGACCACGAACTATGAAAGGCCGACTATTGCTCATCCCCCCGCCCGTCCTGAGAAAGCACAGGCTCCACCCTCCAAATGTGAGACGTAGGCTCTGAGTGAGCCGCCCTTCCTCCGCCATCTCAGGGAGGGAGGGGGAGACAGGCGTGCACCCTAAGAGCGGTAGGAATAAACTTTTATTCATCATGGCGATACAGCGCGTTCAGCCGCATGTGTTGGACCCAGAATCGGACGAGGACTTGGAGGTGCACGAAGCGCAAGCACCACGTCGGCATCAGCTGAACATTATTGATTGGTAAAGTATTGATAAACACTAGTAGATAAACTTATTATATCGTGTACACTGCAGTGTAGCTTATGCTGTAGCTTTTGTTTACTGTTTGCTACGTCAAATGCATCATAGGTGTAGTTGCTGCGTCGTTATGTAGCAGGCTTTAGTTCGTTGTCACGTGGGAGGGTGGCAAAAATAATCTGCAATTTGTTTAAAAAAAAATAACGCCAAATCAATCTAAAAACAACTTCGGCTACATATACAAGGCCCACACATCACTCTTAGAAGGCAGAAAGCTCTGAAAAGTTGATTTTGCATGAGATGGGCCCTTTTAAAGTTCTGCATCTTTGATGTGTTTACTTACGTTGTGAAGAGTAAATAACTATTAGCAATGCATTTCCTAACCTATAATATACTATATTCTAATTGCTATAATGTTGTTTCCTCATCACAAACAGACCTGGAGTTGTGTTTTATTTCAATCACACGCTTTAACACACAAATCCTGCATATTAAGGTTTAATTCGTCTCTCAAACAGAAAACACTCTATTCCACCTTGTGATGTCATGTGGTAATAAAGCAGGAAGCGCTCCACTGTGTTTTTAAACATAAGCATACACTGGAATTTCTACCCTGGAATTGGCAATCTTGACACAACAAAGGGTAAAAGTTAGATGTTAACTTGAAAACTACAGCTTGATGACATCACAAGGTGGAACGGAGCATTTTGAGCTTTAGAGATGTAGACAAAAAGGTACATAAAGGGTTACTTAAACATGTGTGAATGAAAATACAAGTCAAGATATGTTTTTGAGGAGGTAACAGCATTATAACATGACTTAAAGAATCAAATTTACATAATAAAATATCTTGAAACTCTTGGTAAAGGTATTTAAAAAGCAACCCTGGTAGAGTTGCTGAATATTGAATAGAATAGAATTGTTGGAAGCTTTTTGTTGTAGTTAAGGAAATTTAAGACATATAAGAAATTTGCATAGATTTAGAGGCCACTGAAACCGTCCTGCAATGTCTGGGCCGTATGGACATATGGTAGATCATTTTTCTTGTGCCTCGAAATGAAAAATTGCAGCTCCTTTCTGTGGGTCATAAATTCTAGATTGGATCAGGCGCAGTGGGTCAGAAGAAAGACTGGACCATATATTTTTAAACAACGTATTGTTTTTCAACATATTGTTTTTTTCACTGACAGAACAGATTATAATCAAATTTGTGAACTTTCAGGACTTTGTCTTGTAATTCTTTAATATAGTGTAGATGAACACACTGTCCGGGGTGGGTAATACTGAGTTACATTTACTCAGTTATATTTACTTTTTAAATAAATTGTATTTCTCTGAGTAGTTTTTGGACTGCATTATTTTATGCTTACTTTAGTTTGTTTGACGTAACACTACCATAATACTTTGAGTTTGGTTGGTTACTCTTCCTTCTGTGAATACGTCTACAGGTGACAAAAGTTTTATGTCGACCACTTTAGTTTTTCTCCATCCAATAACATTAACTTTAAAATCAAATATGATGTCATTACTTTTGCAGTTACTTGAGTAGTAGTTTCAACAAGTTCTTTTTTACTCTTACTTTATTTTCTCAAACTTCTACGTTGTACTTGAAGTAACACTTTCCATTTCTGCACATTGTTTGAGGGAAGTGGGAGGTTTAACAGTATTAGTAGTAATGTCGCGTATCTTGCAGGTACCTAACACTCCGGTCTCTTTGAGTCCGCCGAACTTCTGCATGGCTTTGATGGCCTTGGTGAGCGCCTCCTTGGTCTGGAGCTGTCCAGTCACAGGGTCAGGGGGCGGGAGGTAACCAAACTTACTCAGCCAGTCCTGGAGAAGAGAAAAAGCAGACACACATGGCAGTGGTCAGGAAAAGTATTTCAATGATGCCTACAATTTTAAAGACACTAAGAAGGGCTGACACCTGTTCATGTTGACACAGTGGCAACTATGGTATGTATACATGCGAGTTATACAGTTGTTTGACAGTTAAGTTCTCAACTACTCACATCGGAGACTACTGTTCATCTTTTTATTTTTACTTTTGGACAATGGCATACATCCCCATACAGTCATTGTAATGGTTCAGCCAATTGTGATCAGTTATTAGGGAGGATTTGTGAAATACTTCCTCTGAAAAAAAATTTACAGGCATTGCCACAACCAAAATCTATTGTAGTACTAGTATCACAGTACTAAAATGTCAAACCTGAATTTGATAATTACCATTTCTCAATTCCAAATTTAATACTACCATAGCTTTTAACAAATGGAATATAATTTTGAAGTTTGCATCAAAAAAATAAAAAAAAAATCTTTCAAACAGAAAACACACACATCATGCAGTAATACAGGAAGGGCTCCACTGTGTTTTTTTTAAAGTCCAAACACTCTTACTAGAATCATCTGGATAATTTCAGCTCTGGAATTTCTTATCTTTACTAAACAAAACGTAAAAGGTCGCTATAAACTTGAAAACTACCACTACATGACAAGATGATCACAAGGTAGAACAAAACATATTCAGCTTTGGAGATGTAGACAGCCTAATAATATAGGGTTATTCAAATAAGTGAATAAAACAAAACACAACTCCAGGTATGTTTCTGAGGAGTTAACAACATTATAACATGGATTGAAGCTCCCAAGAACCCATTTTGTGTAATATAATCTCATGGATCAAGCCCAAAACTATTTAGCAAAGATTCATCTTTGTTTTGATAGTTTTAGTATCGATAGTATCTGGGTATACATTTTTTGACAACCCCAATCTACCAAAAGTATGTCATTTTATTCTTTATTTGCAGTGGAACAAGCACTTTTTATGTTGTGATGATCTTGAGTGAAGAATGCATGTGACTTTCAGATAATACGACTGAACAGCTCATCATTCCCAGAAAGCTCCCATTGTAAAGTCTCTCATGTTCAGATCTATAGTGTCTCTGTAAGCCCTCCTCCTGTCATAGACTGGGTGCCAACACGCTGTGGCAGGTCTAAAATGGGCTATGATCAGGGCTCATCTGAGGTGAGTGGCACAGATCGATAGCATGGCAGCTGTGCAGCAGCTACAAATCGGACCAAATCCCCTCACCTTAGACTTAGCTTAGAGGAATTTGCCTCCTGATCCCTGGATTTGACTACTCCCACCGTCTCAGGAAGTGTCTGAAACAAGATGAGCCTGAACTGATAAAGCTTTAGCGTGGAAGATAGAAAGAGAGATTTGTGGAAGAAGATTTGTTTGTACAGGTCAAATTAAGTACAGGCTAATGTTGTATGTTTTTTTGGAATACTTTTTTGTCAAGTACTGCAATATATGTTTGAAAAGTAGGACTCACACTGTAAACAACTACAGAAGCATCTGAGAGGAGACTAAAATATTAACTAATCAGAACCAAAAATTTTGAATTATTATGTTTATAGAGGTCTAAACTACAGATACACATTTTTTCAGTATATAATTTACAATCTACTAAGGTACACACACGTGCAATTGTACATTTTTTACTTCATTGACTGGAGGTCTATAACTCTTTAATTAAATGGTAGATATATTTAAATTCAACTCAAGTTCTGATGGTTTCTGTGTTAATTATAAGATCTATTTATCCAGGTTTGAGAGTGAAGAACCTCTTAAAGATTTCACACAGTTGTATCTATCAGTTGTATGTTTTTGGGGTTGTTTTATGTTAACACCGTCATAGATCTTTATTAGTTAGAATGACTGAGATCCATCTTCAAGAAATATGCTGAACATTTGACATTCCAACTGTTGAAATCCCCAGGTGACTTGGTCCAGCTGTGTTAAAAGAGGCATCCCGGGGCCAGCTGGAGAAACAGGAGTCATGCAACTGTGTGTAAGCGTCTGTATATTAACACAAATATATACTTTTGTAGGTTCTTTTGTCTCACAACCTTAAAGGGGCTCAACATGATTTTTGTCATTGGTAACTCGTGACAGACTGGTCTAGTTAAAGCTGGGATACATGATTTTTACACAATGGAAGGAGGTATTTTAATTTGTCTAACTCGTCACAAACTCTCACAAACCCTTTGGTACATTGTTAATATTATTTTAGAGTGCGCATGGACAGCTTTATTTAGACAGCTAAGTAAAACTGGTAAAACTGTGGTGGACCAAAAACAGAAAATATAGACATTTACAAAAAAAATTTACAAAAATTTTAAATGTGAACTCCAGTCTCTTTTCTCACACATTCCTAAGGTCTGGATTCTCCACGGGGATGAGTTTATAAGCACATTTTAGATGCAGCTTTCAAGACCCAAAGCAAAGTTTTAGCCAGTTTTAGCTCTACAAAAAAAGAAACAGGTATAGTCTCTTGGAATCACGTACAAATTAAACACTTTGATACCTTTAAAATTTGAAGTTGTATTATTTAGCCTGAATGGATTTATGGCAAGGAGAAAATTCAGTTTGTCGAATGGACAAAAGTTAGTTTGGTTGAAGACGTTTCGCAGCTCATCCAAGCTGCTTCTTCAGTTCTGGTCAGAATGCTGGTGGACACATCTTTATATCTGTCTGTAGATGTGTCCACCAGCATTCTGACCAGAACTGAAGAAGCAGCTTGGATGAGCTGCGAAACGTCTTCAACCAAACTAACTTTTGTCCAGTCGACAAACTGAATTTTCTCCTTGCCATGGATTCTACCTGGACGACTGAGGGATTCTTCATACATCTCATGAATGGATATTTGAAATATACAGAAGTTAATTTGTATATTATCATTACCATTGTTTGCTGTCTGTAGCGATGCAAAGTTTTTCCCATTTTCCTTATGCATTACATCATAATTATTCACTGCAATAAGTTTACAAGGTCTTCCCACAATTTTTAGAGGCCAAAGCCATGATAACTAGCATGCTAACATCAGCCTTCCTGGTGCACTGAAAGCAAAAATGCTTTATAAGTAGATGCCGACAGTACACATTAGGGATGGGCATGATTAGTCGATTAATCGATAATTGATCATTAAGAATTTCATCGATTACATTCATTTTAATCGACAAACCGAATGTAGGTTGCTGTGAGTAGCGTGACCAAACAGGGGTCCGTACATGTAGTCTCTCTGCACTCAGAAGGAGTGAGCAAACACAAACAGTAGGTCAGTCTGCAACATACTGAAGCACAAATGTGTATTTAACGATGATTTGTACAAGAAATTCCAGGCTTTCCGTTCTGTTCGGGACAAGTGGGAGGCCATGTGCACAGTGTACAAAGCAGCACATATGTTTCAGTGTCCAGTGGGAAAAAGCTTTACCAGGTGAGAGTCGCGCAATGTCGATGACGAGTCCCCACCTCCCACCTCCTGTACAGTGTCCTGGTTTTGACAAATGCAAATATGGTCACACTAACCTGTATTCCACTGAGTCGTGTCGCATCAGCGCACAAGAGCTGTTTTTTTTCTTCGCTTAATTTATGCAAAGTAGCGATGCGGTTTTAAGTTTTGTTTCTGTGAGACTTGCGCAAATCTGCATTAAACACATTATAATGTCAAACAGGCTAATGTGGCTCTAGAGTGGTTACGGTTTATAAGTTGTAAAGTTGAATTTATTTATGCAGATTAGTAGTGCAGATAGTAATAATAATGATGATAAATTTTAATATAAAAACCGTTAATGATTAATCAATAATCGATCGTTAATTCTTCCGACGATCGATTATGAATATTTAATCAAATGCCCATCCCTAGTACACATCACTTTCATTTTGACTTTAAGAGCTGCTTTTTACCATATATCTGTGCCGCAGCAAAACAGATTTGACTACATTACATGAAAAAATTCTGGTACTGCCCCCAGCGCTGTTCCCTGACAACAGTTCTAAGCACTTAAGTCAACATACAACTTTTTCCATTTCCTCTTCTTGCTCTGACCCAGAATCAAATTTGCTCTCCATGTATATGCTGAGAACCAGTGTTCAGAATCACATTTACAAAATGAGGACACCAAATTATTTTCTTTCTGTTAGCGCTGTGTTCTTGTGATGGATTACAGCTGTACCATCTCCTTCTCTGCTTTCCCACACAATTCATAAACCCGCTACATCCAACTTTGTCAAAAGCGCAACTAATTTCAACTCTGACAGTGTTGTTTGAAGAAAAAACACCAGCGTAACAGCTCCCAACAAGCACAGTACATCGCAAACAGTGTGTCACGAGAACTCCCATTGGAACGCACATTACAGTTAACAGAATCAGACGGGTAAACAATTACTTCTGCTCCTAAACAATATGGCAGTGATAGCAAGGAGAATTATGGGAGCTATAAGGACAAAGGAAGGGGGAAGTGGGAGCCCGCGTGTATAATTTACATCTTGGATTTAATAAAGCGTAAAGTAATGCTGCTTCTCTCCTGGGGCCTCTACGCCTGAAATATGAGATGAGGGAGAACGAGGGAGCGCACAGAAGGGACGGTGGAATTTGGAGAGAGGTACTGTATCAATCCTCTGATTATCTATAAAACTTAATGAAAAATAAGGGTAGTGATTGCGAAACAAATGTATAGACACACGTGAGTACACAAGGGTAAGGAAACTTAGTGGAGTAGTTTGTCTTTGCAATTACGGTATGCTAATGCTGTCTTCAAGTCAACAAGGAGACCGAGTCATTACATAGGCTGGATAAAAATGTATTTATAGCAATATATGCAGAGATTGTGAGTTGTCGAGCATTGCTGGATAAGATATTACAAAGCTACCCCAGTGCCAGTAATAAGTTGTATTAAAGGCACAGTCCAGTCCTTTCTGGAGGTGGCACGTCACCTGCCAAGTTAGGCTTTCATAAATCTAATCAGATCTAATGATTCCATGGAAA